TGTCTAACTTTGCTTTGAGTTGGGATCCAACCATATAACATACATTAGGCTAATATAGACTGAGACTCAAAACATTCATAGGCCTGATTGATCTACAAAATGGCGGTCTTAGAAAATAGGCTTAAATTCCACTCAGAATGCTTTAATTTGGAAGTGCCTCTGATGCAAAATTAAATGAAACTAAAATGCAAGAAAATACAAAAAAGTCCTATGTTTTAATTACAATCATGGGTATTTTCAGAAAATCTTTATTCTTGAGGGAAAAAGAGAAGCAGTTCACAAATGTTGATGAGCAGAAGACAAGAAACTCTGGCTGCAAAAAAAAAAAATCTGAGCTCTTGAAAAAGAAAGAAAAAAAGAAATGAAAATATGAATGATATTCAATCAAAGGATCCAAATGGTGAAATTCTGGAAATTCCACATGGAGAGACAATAAGGATTTTTGAATTGACTATCTCTGCTCGAAGTGCTTGAAAGCACTTAAAGCTGTTACCCTGGTGCTGAACAAACTTTTCTCCTAGACTGGAATTAAAAACTGTTCAATTTCTGGCTTTAAAACACACTTTGAAACATGCTGAGGAAGGATCCCCCTCTCCTATTGACCAAGTAAGGTTAAACATTCTGCAAAGAGTTGCGTTTGAATTGAAATTTTTCATACTTTTACCAGGAATGAACTACAATATTCATTTACTATGGTTTAATATGTCAGAATTGTCTTTTAAGTTTTTTAACAAAGATTTTGTTGCCATGGTTGGAAAACAAACAACATTCCTGTGAAATCTTTCAAGATGCTGTATTATAAAACATCTACTGTTACTATTTTTAGCATGACTTCATGCATTTTCATGAACAAACATGAATAATAATATTGCATTTTTTGTTTACATATAAGCAAGAATATTCATGAATGCTAATGGTTCATGAATTTTATTCACTCATGAACATTCCTGAAAAAATTCATCAAATTATTCATGAACAGTTCATGAAGATCCAATGAACTTATTATTGGACATTCTTGAAATGATGAATCTTCATGAATATGACTCTTCATGAATTATTCATGAATATTCATCAATTTTCTTTCATGAATAAAAATTCATGATTTGAAAATGTCCAATAATAAGTTCATAGGATCTTCATGAACATTTCATGAACATTGCATGAATAAAATTCATGAAAAATTTAAGGAAATTCATGAATTATTCATGATCATCTCGTAGGGGTACATCTCTAAGAGACTTACAGGATTAATTTCAGGGATTAATTATAACAAATAATACATCATTTAATTCTAAACTGGCTGTGTTAGAGCTTAACAAATATCCATCTGCAGCTTTAAATTGTTTATTGCATATTCTATGAATTAATGGAAATGCTACAGTCTAATAAAAAATCAAAAATAAATTATTCTTTAGACTATGAAATTCTAAGTGAGTCATGACTGCAATTTGTTGCAAATATATAAAAACTGAAATGTAATTTTTTTTTTCAATGAACACATATACAATTAGTTTTAATTATATTATACAATACTAATTTAGTTTTAATCATACACTAAAACATCAATTTGTTTTAATTACATTACACCAATTGAAAGATCTTTATCTGAACTATAGCCATCAAGAAGTCTTCATTAACTCAAGCAACTATGAGGCCATTTCTTTTTAACCAACTCCCAAGAGATAAATTAAGATAACACAGCTGCATGATCAGATCTAGAGATGCTCTTGCTGTATAATAAACTCATTAATTTCTCTTTAATTTGACATGCAAATTTCTGCTATCAAAATTCTTCTTGACCAGTGCTTGATAATTATGCCCATGGGACAAAATGAATTCCTCTCAAAACATTAACATTTGTTACAGATTGCTGTAAAGTATATGAATATGAAAAAATAAGTTTTTACTTAATTTAACATTTTTTAATAAGTATACAACTATATTTTTACATTTTTTAGGATTATGAAATTTAAAATACTTAGTTTATTTTTAAAAATTTACTTAAATCAAAGGTCACAGTGACCTTGAAATAGACCGCAACACACCTTCTACCATAGATGTATACTTTTGCTAAGTTTGAAAGCTCTAGGTCTAATAGTTTTCTAGTTATGAACCGGACAGGATTTTTCCATATTTGGCTTTAGCATCTTTATTAAAGGTCAGAGCGACCTACTTTTTGTGCGCGACACACCGTCTACCCAAGAAGTATTAGTTGACAAAGTTTGATAATCCTAGGCCTAATAGTATTCAAGTTATGAGCCGTAGAAGAATGGACAGACGGACGGACGGACATGAAGCCTATAACATAATATGTCCCATCTTAGGACGGGCATATAAAAATGGTGTGATCAGACCCCAAACAGAACTTTGCCTAGATATTCATGTGATATATCTGTATACCAAATTTCATTTAATATGTGCAACGGTTGCAAAGGAAATGAATGGAAACTAAGTGGACCGACAGACCAACAGACAGCAGCAAAGCAATATGCCCTCCCTTCTTTGAAGGGGGGGGGGGAATAAAAAGGCTGGTAAATAAATGTTTTGACAGGCAATAAATTACAATTAAGAGAATTAGAGAAGAGAGATCTTTCCTTCTGTTGTCGAATTCTCAGGAGATATAGATAACACATGATCAGAGATGCCCAACTTCACACACTAAGCTCATTAATTATCTTTAACTGGATACATGTCCACTCATATCTCCTTAAGGACAAATGGATAGATTATAATTGGAATTTTTGTACGTCAAAAGGGCATAACTCTGTAAAAAATGGTACGATCGTACCCAAAACAGAACTTGGCCTAGATATTCATCTGATAAATCTGTATACCAAATTTCATTTCAGTATGTGCAACGGTTGTGAAGAAAATGAACGGAAACTAAGTGGACCGACAGACCGACGGACAGCAGCAAAGCAATATGCCCTCCCTTCTTCGAAGGAGGGCATAAAAAGAACAGATACAAAGACGACTGCATTTGACCAAAAAACATGAACGAGAGGCCCATGGGCCACATCGCTCACCTGAGCATTGCGGCTGGGAAAAGAATAAATGGATTCATTATTGAAAAGTTTAAATCCAAAAGCAGTCCCATGACTAATCATGGCTTTGCTATTCTTGAGAAGATGATTTTGTAAAGAATTTTCCTATATACTTGGATTGGCCATTTTGGCCCTGCCCTTCCCCCGGGGTTATGATTTGAACAAACTTAAATCTACACTACCTGAGGATGCTTCCATATAAATATGATCAATTATGGCTTTGCTATTCTTGAGAAGAAGATTTTTAAAGAATTTTCCTATATATTTTTATGTAAAATGTTGGTCGGATTCCATTGTGACTTCCATATGAATATGAGCGGCTTTGTGATTCTTGAGAAGAAGATTTTTAAAGAATTTTCCTATAATTATATTTCAATATAAAATGTTGGTCCCCCGGGGTCATGATTTGAACATTGTGGCCCATATAAATATGATCAATTATAGCTTTGTTATTCTTGAGAAGAAGATTTTTAAAGAATTTTCCTATATATTTCTATGTAAAACTTGGACCCCCCACCCTATCGGGGTCATGATTTGAACAAACTTGAACCTACACTACCTGAGGATGCTTCCATATAAATATGATCAATTATGGCTTTGCTATTCTTGAGAAGAAGATTTTTAAAGAATTTTCCTATATATTTCTATGTAAAACTTGGATTGGCTATTTTGGCCCTGCTCTACCCCCAGGGGTCATGATTCAAACAAACTTGAATCTACACTACCTGAGGATGCTTCCATATGAATATGAGCAATTATGGCTTTGTGATTCTTGAGAAGAAGATTTTTAAAGAATTTTCCTATAATTATATTTCAATGTAAAATGTTGGTCAGCCATTGTGGCCCCGCCCAACCCCCCGGGGTCATGATTTGAACAAACTTGAATCTACACTACCTGAGGATGCTTCCATATAAATATGATCAATTATAGCTTTGTTATTCTTGAGAAGAAGATTTTTAAAGAATTTTCCTATATATTTCTATGTAAAACTTGGATCGGCCAGTGTGGCCCCACCCTATCGCCAGGGGTCATGATTTGAACAAATTTGAATCTACACTATCTGAGGATGCTTCCATATAAATATGATCAATTATGGCTTTGCTATTCTTGAGAAGAAGATTTTTAAAGAATTTTCCTATATATTTCTATGTAAAATGTTGGTCGGCCATTGTGGCCCCGCCCGACCCCCCGGGGTCATGACTTGAACAAACTTGAACCTACACTACCTGAGGATGCTTCCATATAAATATGATCAATTATGGCTTTGCTATTCTTGAGAAGAAGATTTTTAAAGAATTTTCCAATATATTTCTATGTAAAACTTTGATCGGCCATTTTGGCCCCGCCCTACCCCCAGGGGTCATGATTTGAACAAACTTGAACCTACACTACCTGAGGATGTTTCCCCATAAGTTTTATCTTTCCTGGCACAGCGGTTCCTGAGAAGAAGATTTTTAAAACATGCCACCAAATTTTCACTAATTCCCAATTATCTCTCCTTGAATAAGGGCGTGGCCCTTCACTTGAACAAACTTGAATTACCTTCACCCAAGGATACTTTGTTACAAGTTTGGTTGAAATTGGCCCAGCGGTTCTTGAGAAGGTAAAAAATGTGAAAAGTTTACAGACAGACAGACAGACAGCTAGACAGACGGAGGCCGGACAAAATGTGATCAGAAAAGCTCACTTGAGCCTTCAGCTCAGGTGAGCTAAAAGCCATTTGGGAACTGTCATATTTTATCATCCAAGAGCGTATTAAAATCCTACCAATTATTATGTGTAGATTATGTTCTAAGTTAGTGATTTAAAATCAAACCAAATAAAATCAACTAGTTATAAATCATTTTTAAGTATGTTTTGTTGCCTCGTTAATCAATTTCGCATTATAACAATGTGACCTTAATTTGTGCGAAAAACCATGCTAGTTTAAAAAGTGTGTTGAGCTGTATACATACCTTTTCACAAAGAACAGGTGACAATGTTGTGACTGGAACCAAACTATTGATGACAAATTTCAAATACTTCTCAACTTCCTGCAAAACCAAATACATGTACAATGTTTAATTACATTAACAGTACTTCATCAATAAAGACAGCATATCAGCTGTACCGTATAATCCCTATTAACCGCCCCTACCCCTATAAGCGTCCCCTTAGGTCTTTTTCAATTGTCAGGAAATAAGGGCCCCCTGTAAGTGATTCAAATCAACCAGAATCGTATCAAAAAAAATGAAGAAAGTGAAAATGAAATTTGTCTATCATCCAATTTCTCAGTGGAAAATGAACAATTTAGCATAATTTGGGGGGATTATCTTCATTTTAAATAAAGTTAGACATCATCTTAGTTGTTTCTTGTATTTATTTTTATTTTCAAACTATTGAAGTTAAAATATGACATTAAGTATCATAAAGAGAACACTAAAATAATTGCCCCCTTTTTGCAATTTTCTTAGCACCCGTGGCGGTTAATAGGGATTATACGGTATTTTAACTTGAGAGAATGAGTTGTTAACAATGTTTATATGACATATTCATTTGATTATCTGTGTTAATCTGACAGCTAGTTGTTTACCTTACTAATATGATGGTTGTGTACCTGTGTTAACCATACAGTTGATTGCCTGTGATAACCCTGTATTAATCTGACAATATTGTTTATCTATGTAAATCTGATGGTTGTTCTGTGTTTATCTGATGGTTGTTCTCATGTGTTTTACCTGTTTTGAATTGTATTAATCTGACAATTGTTTACCTGTGTTTTACTCATGTTGAACTGACAGTAAATGTTTGCATGTATTAATCTGACAATAGTTTACCTGTGTTGAACTGACAATTGTTTACCTGTATTAATCTGATAATTGTTTACCTGTTTTGAACTCACAGTTGTTGTTGTGTGAATCTGACAGTATTTCACTTGACTGTTTATCTAACAGTTGTTTACCTGTGTTTAAAACATTGCTGTGACGTCATGCCTTTGTTCTTGCAGTCTAAAAATTTACCTGTAGCCGTCCGATAATAATAATTACCAGTCTGATAATATATTATCGGACAGCAATGATAACAAAATTGGACGGTATTTAAAAAGCAAAAAGAAGAGTGAAATTAAGGTTAAATATGTCCAGAAACCCCCAATAAGAATGTTAGGAAAAAAATTCAGGGAAAGCAAACGCAAGGAAATTAAGTTGCTATAAAAATAGCAAATCCATGAAAAAAAATCCGAGTTTAAACCTTCCACAACATTAATACTTTCCACTCTTTAAAAGAATTTTTGATACAGCACTTTGAATAAGCGAATCTAAATCCATTTCTGAAAAAGAGTCTGCAAATCTCCTTATTTTATGTTTGGTCCCCGATGGCCACACTTTTAAAACCTGAGAATATTTCCATTATCTAAACAGCTAAACTAAAACTTCAGGGTAAAAATCCGCATTTTTACTTTCCATGGTGATCTCCCAAGATTATGTCAGTATCAATGTCAATTTATGCACATCATAAATAAAAATGTCCCCCCCCCCCCCCAAAAAAAAAAATCCTACACCACCGGACCCCTGTCCTGCTAAACTAAACGACTGCCATTGAATGAATGAAATGAAACAAGAGTTCACTCACTATTTTTACTGTCTCATTTCTTTTATCTACTTATCAGACAGGTAGAAAACAATGGATGCCTAAACTCCCATTGTGTTTTTATCAGACTCCTCCAGGTAACTTTTGGACATTTAAATGGCAATGTTTTAAGTAAGATATATGCCTCATACTATTCTATATGTAAAATTATCAGACAGTTTTCGGCCCTAATGGGCCTCAAACAGTCTGATAATTTTACATATAGAACAGTATTCGGCATATATCCATTACTTATTTGACAGTTGTTTACCTGAACTGCAACAGAGGTGGTTCTTTCAAGTACATCACACAGGAGCTCTAAAGCCATGCAGCTTATGTTGTTGGCATATCCATCTTCATTCCTTATACTTAAAAAGTATTAAGTAATACAATCAAAAACAAAGACTGTAGCTCTCTGCTTGAGAAAATTTCGACAGACAAAGAATAGAACTTAAGATCCAAGCATTGTAAAACCCTTCGATTTTCCCAGCCACTTTTTTGTCGCATACTTCAGGTATTATTTCTTGAATTTTATGCTTTTCTCTCACTTTTAAAATGTTATCTGACAAATAATCTTATATACATGACTTATTGATACTTAATTTACCTTTCAATGATCAGAACCAGTCCTTTATTATTTTGGAATGTCGGTTTTAAAGATTCCCGTTTTGACATCCATAACCACAAATGTCCATTTGGAACCATTGAAAGGTAAATAAAATATCAGAAATAGAAGTTAAATGTAAGGTTAGTTATCAGATACCGTTATAAAGCTGGTAAAAGCATAAAATACTGTAGTTATCCAGGTTCAATCAAGGGTGTATGGGATTTACCCTGGGTTTTTATAATTCCATACACCCTGAGGCTGAATGGAATATTGAATACAACCCGGGGTAAATCCCTGTACACCCTGAATTGGACCTGGATATTGAATTTATTTCCTATGTTCCCGAATAAATTCTTTGTATAAAACATAAGTCCAATCAACTGTGTCTCAACCTATCAATAAGATTTACTACATACTACAATGCATTGTGGTGTCATGTTATTTGCTTTTTATCATAGAACCAGAAGTCTCTGTCGAGACGGTGTAGCTCTACTGGTTTATACTTATAACAAAGGAAGAGAAGAGTAGCAGTTGGGACTTGAAACTTTAATACAGCAATAAATAGAACAATGATCCTTGATTAAGTTTCTTTTTGTGGCAATAAATTGAAATAAGACTACAACTGTTGGAGTAGTTTTTAATAAAATTTTACTGTATTTTCAATTTTAGTTACCATGGCAAAATTATTCATCAAAATAAGAAAATACCAGAAGTCTCTGTCAAGACTGAAGCTCTACTGGTTTGTACTTATAGCAAAGGAAGAGAAAAGTACTTAAGCAGTTGGGAATTGAAACTTTACAATAGCAATAAATAGAATAATGATCCGTGATCAAGTCTCTTTATGTTCTTAGTGTAGTCTACTTGCTTGCAACATTATATTATAATCAGAGTAAAACTGTATTTGGAGCAGCATTTTGAGAGTATTTAACAGAAGTTTCTATTTTTAGTAACCAAGGCAATAATGTTCATCGAAGTCAAAAACCAATATACAGAATTGTGTATCGTAGTGTAGTCTACTTGTTTACCAAGTTATACTGTGAATCACTTAATTTTCACAACACCTTTTTTTCCCGAAATAGTCATTGACTCTTTATTAGCGACACAAAATTTTCACTAATTGTGGTGATTGCTCTATATGATCTTAACGAATTCTATAATACGCGAGCATGAAATTTTCGCGAGCATTCTGTCTCGCGTAAATATGCGAAAATAAAGTTCTCGCGAATAAAAAGTGATTAACAGCATTGAAATCAGACCAAAACTGTAGGATACGTAGCATTTTGAAAGAATTTCACAGAAATTTCTATTTTTAGTAACAACGGCAACACCGTTCGTCAAAATCAAAACCCGATGCAAAGAATCATGTATCTTAGTGTAGTCTACTTGTGAGCCAAGTTATATTGAAATCAGACCAAAACTGTAGGAGGAGTAACATTTTGGAACAATTTAACAGAAATTTCTATTTTCAGTAACAACAGCAACACCGTTCATCGAAATCAACCAGAAGTCTCTGTTGAGGCTGTAGCTCTACTGGTTTGTACTTATAACAAAGGATGAGAAAAGAAGCCATTGCCTTCAGACCAAAACTGTAGAAAGAGTAGCGTTTTAAAGGAATTTCACATACATTTCTATTTTTAGTAACAATGGCAACACTGTTCATCGAAATCAAAAACCAATGCACTATATGCACTATTTTATGTATCTCAGTGTAGTCTACTTGTGTGCCAAGTAATATTGAAATCAGACCAAAATTGTAGGAGGAGTAGCCTTTTAAAGGAATTTCACAGAAAATTCTATTTTTAGTAACCATGGCAACACCGTTAATCGAAATCATAAACTGATGCACTATTCTATGTATCTTAGTGTAGTCTACTTGTGTGCCAAGTTATACTGAAATCAGATCAAAACTGTTGGAGGAGTAGCGTTTTATAGGAATTTCACAAAATATTCTATTTTTAGTAACCATCGCAACATCGTTCATCGAAATCAAAAACCGATGCACTATTCTATGTATCTTAGTGTAGTCTACTTGTGTGCCAAGTTATTATAAAATCAGACCAAAACTGTAGGAGGAGTAGCGTTTTGAAAAATTGTTTACAGACAGACGGACACCTTACTATCGCATAAGCTCTTCTGGTCTCTGACCAGTAGAGCTGAAAACCAGTATAAAGAATTATATACCTTAGTGTAGTCTACTTGTGTACCAAGTTACATTGAAATCAGACCAAAACTGTAGAAGGCATAGCATTTTGAAAGAATTTAACAGAAATTTCTATTTTTAGTAGCCAAGGCAACACCGTTCATCGAAATCAAAAAACATTATATAGAATTATGTACCTTAGTGTAGTCTACTTGTGTACCATGCTATACTGAAATCAGACCAAAAATGTAGGAGGAGTAGCATTTTGAAAAATTGTTTACAGACAGACAGACAGACCAACGGATGCCAGACGTATTACTATCCCATAAGCTCTTCAGGCCCCAAGACCATAAACTGAGAACAGACTTAAGTTAAAATTTTAGTTTTTAATTTCTTTAGTTTCATTCAATTTATTAGCTTAAAAATTTGTAATTGTGAAAAACACTTCAATTCAAACATATGATGACAATTTTTATTTATTACAAAAATTATTTCAAAAGTTATATCAATTTGAAATTTTGACTTAAGTCTTTTCTCAATTTATGGTCATGGGGCCAATGAACGGTGTTGTCTTGGTTACCAGTAGAGCTAATAAAAACCAGAAGTCTCTGTCGAGACTGTAGCTCTACTGGTTTGTACATATTACAAAGGATGAGAAAAGAAGCCATTGCCATCAGATCAAAACTGTAGAAGGAGTAGCTTTTTAAAGGAATTTACAGAAAATTCTATTTTTAGTAACCATGGCAACACCGTTTATCGAAATCAAAAACCAATGCACTATTCTATGCATCTTAGTGTAGTCTACTTGTGTGCCAAGTTATACTGAAATCAGATCAAAACTGTAGGAGGAGTAGCATTTTAAAGGAATTTCACAAAAAATTCTATTTTTAGTAACCATGACAACACTGTTCATTGAAATCAAAAACTGGTGCACTATTTTATGTATCTTAGTGTAGTCTACTTGTGTACCAAGTAAAATTGAAATCAGACAAAAACTGTAAAAGGAGTAGCGTTTTAAAGGAATTTCACAGAAAATTCTTTTTTTAGTAACCATGGCAACACCATTCATCAAAATCAACTAGAACTGTCCAAACAGGACAAAATACCCCCGCTGGGTTTTTTCAGAAGTAAGTTTTTCCATAATAAAGATATGTATCACACATGAATTATGAAATTTTTCTTCCAGTGACCTTGAACTTCCCCAAATGACCGTGGGTCATGGTCATGGCACACCCTTAGGTCATGGACAATCTTTGCATGAAATGATAACCTAACAAGTTTATCCATAAGAAAGATATGGACTGGACATGAATTATGAACTTTTTCTTCCAGTGACCTTGAACTTCGTCAAGTGACCTTCCGTCAAGGTCATGACACACCCTTGGGTCATGGGCAATCTTTTCATGAAATGAGAACCTACCAACTTTATCCATAAGAAAGATATGGACCGGACACGAATTATGAACTTTTTCTTCCAGTGATCTTGAACTTCCCCAAATGACCTTGGGTCAAGGTCATGACACACCCTAAAGTCATGGGCAATCTTTGTGTGGAGTAGTAGATTCTAATGTCCCTCCGTAAGAAAGATATGGACAGGACACGTTTGCACAGACAGACGGACAGACAGACAGATGGACAGACAGACAGCTAGACAGACGGACAAGGTGATTCCTATTTACCCCACCTCTGTTGATTTTTCCGTGAAATCCTGGCTTACGATTGGTTGAAGTCTGTCACGTGAAGGCGGTGGATTACTTATACCCGGTCAGTTGTAAATCGATACCCGGTCAATGTATTACGTCACAAACACAAACGTGACGTCATAATAGGCACGGTGTAAGCCTGATGAAGTATTTCGCAGAGAAAACCATTTTATGAACCACAGATAAAACTTTAAAGTTTCATCGGTGGGGTAAATTCGTCACATAGTCTTTTAGTGACAGGGTATGGGATGATACTTGGTTAGTAAATTTCATACCTGACTCGGCTCCGCCTCGCCAGGTATGAAATTTACTAACCAGGTATCATCCCATACCCTGTCACTAAAAGACTATGTAACTAATAATACCCCCCCAAACTTCGTTTGCGGGGGGTATAAAAACTGATGTACTATTTTATGTATCTTAGTGTAGTCTACTTGTGTGCCAAGTTACATTGAAATCAGATCAAAACTGTAGGAGGCGTAGCGTTTTAAAGAATTTCATAGAAAATTCTATTTTTAGTAACCATGGCAACACTGTTTATTGAAATCAAAAAATCGATGCAACATTTTATGTATCTTAGTGTAGTCTACTTGTGTGCCAAGTAATACTGAAATCAGACAAAAACTGTAGAGGGAGTAGCGTTTTAAAGAAATTTCACAGAAAATTCCATTTTTAGTAACCATGGCAACACTGTTCATTGAAATCAAAAACTGATGCACTTTTTTATGTATTTTAGTGTAGTCTACTTGTGTGCCAAGTTATATTGAGTTCAGATCAAAACTGTAGGAGGAGTAGCATTTTATAGGAATTTACAGAAAATTCTATTTTTAGTAACCATGGCAACACCGTTCATTTAAATAAAAAACTGATGCATTATTTTATGTATCTTAGTGTAGTCTACTTGTGTGCCAAGTAAAA